TAAGGATTGATAAGATTATAATTTATAGGTATGGTTCTTTGTTAACAACAATGTAAGGATTGTTTAGATTATAATTTACAATAAGGCCTTGTTCATAACAGTTCGTAGAAATAGTATAATTTACTTGATTGCGTAATTGTTAGGTATTCGTTATAATTGTGTTTTCCATATCAAACCGCAAAATATTTGTAGTTAGTAAAACCAATGGCGAGCAATAAACATGACCGTTTAGTTTAACCTGTTAGAATAGAGTTAGAGACGTATTTATACAACACTACATCGTGTCTGCATCGTACTGTTGCAAAAAATTAGAATTATGAAAATGAAGAATAATAGATATGTATGTAGGTACTTAGTTTCCTAAATTTTATTTTAATATCCGTCTGGTTGATTATTTAAAATATTAGACACGTATATTTCTTTTCTCACAAAATGAAGTACTTTCGACGATATATTAATTTGAAATATCGTATGACGTCACAACGTGTTACATTTTGTAGCACGTTATGACGTAAAGACCTCCCACTCCTAAACTTAGCGCCATTTTTTCTAAGTAATGCAACTTAATAGGAGAAAATGAAAGAAAATACGTGTCTAATATTTTTTCATTATCTAACTGACGGACTAATTAGATTTTTAATTTTGATACCTTGGAAACTACACAATTACAAGCACTAACAACTTAAAATTTTTAGCTATGTTATGTTGTGGTTTGTAATACATGTACACCTTTCCAGGCCCTGTGCTAATTGAAAATTATTATTAACTGTGCCCGATCGATTAATTGGTCTTCTTGTAGTTCTAGGAGTTACAATTTTTCACGTTGATGTTTCAGATCGTGCCAGTGCCGCAGGAGTCACGTTGTGGCTCACAATGTTAGGGGTGATGCGCGCGCAGTCCGTGCCCGCTGACAACGACACTCCTCCTTTCAGTACCCTGTATAAATGGAAGCAAGTCGACTTCGAGTTCCCCACGCCCAGACACCGGAGACATGCACTATCCACGGGGTAAACATCATTGTAACTCATTTGTTTTTACTCACGATCTATTCAAAATACTTTTACTATTATGTCATTGCTATTTCCTTACACTTATAAATTAATTAATTTTAAAACAATACACTTACGCGTGGTACTTAATTATGGATTTTGTAAGAAGTACTTTCGATATAATAATTATTTACTACCCCGTTGTTTTATATTCTGCATCAGAATTTCTTCATATTTTACACTAAACCATATTCCTTCATAAATTGATAATTAATTACTATGTCTAAAATATGTATTAATATACATAATATATATTAGATACAGGAACTTCTTGAGGTTTAAGTCGCAGAAATTGCTGAGCATGTTCTGTTTTTTGCGCATACATGACGCACATGACAATATTAGGGCAATGGGTTACACATGCATCAAGTACCTATTATGGCTTCGTATTATTATAGTTAAACATATATTCCCTTATCCAATTCTATGAACTATGCAACTATTTAGGTATGTTATGAAGTAATGGGGTGCTCCTTGTCTATGGTCCACAGATAATATTAGATATTAAGTATTCTATCATTACACCAAAATAATAAGTCTGTGGACCATGGACAAGACTTCATTTTTCATTTTTTAGCTTATATTTTATTTTATTTTTATTTTTAATTATGTTATGTGTGTTCTGCGCAAAAAAGAAATGGTTTTTCTTTTCTTTCCTTTCTTCATGCAATAAAATAGGAATCGAATAGGTATAAAGTCACTAATGAGAATTCCAAAATTAATTTCAGGAAATTTATACCTGCCAATGTGCTTCCCCTGGGCATCGAGGTGTGGGGTCACCGAGTGTGGGTGACAATACCAGCGTGGAGACGAGGCGTACCCGCCACGCTCGCTACTTTACCCAGGCAAGGGGGACTTGCCTCGCCTCAACTCAAGCCATACCCTGACTGGAGCTTTCATAGAGCATTTGGTGAGTTTATCTATTCGTATTTTTCTAAAAATCATGTGGATGGTACGTTTGAAACGATTTTTTTTAATATGTTTCCTAATACCTACAAAATTATTGAAATTCATATATTCATACTTCCCTACCGTGTCACTTTAGATTTTGGAGAACGGTAATATGGCAAATGGCAGTAAGATATGGCGCTTTTACTTGACTACACAACCTACTAGATATTGTTTATGTTTCCAGGTGACCCGAAGAATTGCACCGGGCTAACTTCTGTGTTCCGGATACACGCCGACCACTGCGGGCGACTCTGGGTATTGGATTCCGGTCAGATAGACTCACAGGACAATCCGAAACAATTGTGTCCGCCCAGCATAGTAGTGTTCGATCTTAAATCAGATACATTGATCGCGCGATACACGATTCCTAAACAATTTGTATTACAAGATTCTTTATTCTCCAACATCGTCATAGACTCTAGGACAGCAGACTGTTCAGACCTTCACCTGTACATAGCGGACACCTGGCGATTCGGCCTACTAGTGTTTAGAGAAAAAGACCACAAATTTTGGAGATTCTCAAATCCATTATTCTTCCCTGACCCATTAGCATCAAATTTTACACTGCACGGTATAAACTTTCAGTGGACCGATGGTATTTTTGGTTTAGCATTAACCCCGATTGATCCATACGAGGAGCGCATATTATTCTTCCATCCGATGTCAGGTTATAGGGAGTTCTACGTGTCAACAGAAGTATTACGAGACCCATTCAGAGTTACTAACAGTTCCCAGGAATTCAATATAGCCGGAGAGAGTAGAGGATTGAATGGTCAAGCGTCTGCGTCTGCTGTCGATAGGAGTGGAGTGATGTTTTATGGCTTAGTAAGCCGGGACAGTGTCGGATGTTGGAATACAAAAAAACTCTATAAGAGGAGAAATATTGGGATTGTGGCATCTAATACGGAGACATTGATATTTCCAAATGACATCAAAGTTGATCAAGATTTAAGGCAAAATTTATGGGTTATAACGAATCGTTTGCCGATGTTCCAAGCAGGACCACTGGATGCTGACGACTATAACTATCGCATCTTATACGCTGACACTAAGGAAGCCGTGCGAGGAACAGTTTGCGACATGGACCCTGATCACCCGTCTCCTGCCGATATCATACACAGAGGTTGGCTGCCATAAAAATGTACCTCAAAAATATAATTATTTAATTAAATCGCACTTTTATAAAACTTTAGTATTTTTATTTAGCGCCTACTCGTATAGACATTGCAAATCTCTATGCAGTGACTTAGCATCAAGTTTCTATAAGGATTTTATTAGTTTTTCTAATTCAAATCTATAGTTATCATGTGAGTCATTTCGCAACATTAGTTTGATTTAGTAACTGTGACTGCTTAAATAGGGGGCTTAGTAAATTCCAGGGTGGGTATTTTTATTCTGCGGAACTTAATTTAAGAATAGCGCATAGTCTGAAGTCGTATATCGCAATAGGCTCAACTCTTTTACATAGGGCTGTGAGACTCTGGCAAAGAGTGTAATGTATAAAATATAAATAAGTATATGTGCATTGCTGCCTACCTCAGGGGTTAAAAGGCATTATCTATGTATGTACGTAAAACAGAAAACTATGTAGTTCAATGTTAACATAGATTCAATGTCCAGAGTATTTATTTTTTTTTTTCCTTATATTGTAAATATCCCAGTTTTAATAAAATACTTCATATCCAGAATTATTATTCATTTTTTTTCGCAATTTTAAAATCGATATATTTATATGAATTTTGTATGAGATTGCGTGTTTGACGTCAATGGTTTTTTGACGTTAGCATCAACGTTACGAAAATGTGTTTATTATCACATAAATGAATGAAACAAAGTGTATATTAGAATATTCATTTAATTATTTAATAACATCGACCACGGTACCTAATAACCAAGGAACATATTCAAATATCGTTAGGCAGACGTAATAAGTATATCGGTGATTGACTCCTGCGTACAGCGTCATGGGTGGAACCCTTTTCAGATTTGTCCGTATGAAAATACTAAACAAATCCTTCCACTTTGTTCTAGAAAACGATTTTTCAGTATCGTGCCTCCACTGTACATAATGTACTTATTAAAATTACGTAAGTGACATTTATATCTTTATTTTAAAAGTAAATAATGTGTATGTTATGATAATATTTCAAGATTCAGTTTAAGATTCGATATCTATAGGAACCTAATTGTAAAATGCGTATTGTGAAATGCCCTGCCATAAAAAACCAGGTTATATAAACAAATACTAAAAGTCTGCGTAGCCGAGCCGTTAAGCGCATAATTATTACTATCAGATCTTAAGAAATAATACTTAAATAAATACTAATCATTGACCTCCTTTAAATTCTAATTTAATGTTAATATTTATACGTTAAATACTACGCCTACGAAAGGTCCACGCCACGTCTATTTATGGTTACGCAGCGTCTACGCAGGGTTACGTAGTGCCTACGCAGAGCTGCGTAGTGCCTACGCAGGGCTACGTAGCATCTTCATTAGGACTAAGTAGTGACTACGCTGGGCTATGCAGAGCTACGCAGCATTTATGCAGGGCTACGAAACGTCTACGCAGGGTTACGTGGTGAGTACGCGGGATTTACACCACATTTGATCGAAATAATCATGTTATACTGAATGTTGATTAAAATGAAAAATCATAGTTATTTTTTACAGGCCTGACATAAACAAAAGGCCTTTTGAAATCATCCTTATTAGATATTTCTAATTACAACCAGCACAGGTAAATCACACACAAGGTAACTGTTACACTTTAACTCATTATAGACATCCACGACTCGACATACAAAACAATTTAAACGTTACAATCTATGTTATTATCCAAACTAGTTATTCAGTTTTATCACGATTCTAAAAACAGCTTAGTACAGTATACCAGTTGGGGGTATTACACCACTCCTTGAATACAGTTCCGAGTTATACAAAACTGGTGGGCGACGCCAAAACGATTTATGTAATAACTTCTTTAATTCATGTTTAGTCCTCGATGTTAACATAACAGTTCTAAGCCACCGACCGAACGGACGTGCTACATTATATATGTAGCTTAATTCCATGCAAGTGAATCAGTGGTAACGCCAAAATGGAAAAGGTGAGTTCTTATTTCTAAATTTATCTAAATAATAATAATTTTAGCGTGTTAATTTTTTGGTAACTGCAAGATTAAAGTTCGAAATTGTATGTCCTTGCATTTTTCCTGTTACCGAAATGTGAGTTTAATACCAATTACTACAATATACAAAAGCTTAGAGATTACTCTTGTGATTATTTGTCTATTTTTTGTCACGACAGTCCTAAACAACTGAAAACACACATACGTACGTACATATTAAATGATTAGATTCGGGTAGATGTAACGAATAAAAAAAAGTATGTTTGTAAGGATCGTTGCAGACGCTTCGTAATTTGTACTCAAGAAATATATGGGACAAAGGAGGGAGTTTACATTATGGTAATTTACATAATACTCATGTCTAAATTCGGTGTATATACTTAAGAATGTTGTGCTCACAAATTTTGTAATAAACACAAAGCATGTTTTGTTGATTGAGACCGCGACCTGTGTCAAACACAAATCCAACATTCTGTAATAGCAGTAATTCAGTAAGTAGTTCAAATTGTTCTAATTAGCATATTGGAGTAGTGATTACAAGTTTATATAATTAGATACTAAGACCTAGAATTACAGATAGCTCTTGCAAAATCTAAACATAAACGTATATATGAATTAATTTAACAGTTAACGTGTTGACATAGCTGATCCATTAGCATTAACTTAGGCACACAGTGGCATCTATATGCGTAATATCCTAGCGTCAGGTAGATATAAGTTTTTTGGAAGGATGCACAAAGGTGATTTCTCAAGAGCACCTGCTATACTTCTCATGTTTTGTCGGGACTAATTCGTCACGTCGCTAGTTTGTAGTTTAATTGAGTCACCCACACAGTTGACGAATTTCTTTAGTTATTCTATCAGTTGAATTTTGTTTATGATGTGCTAATTCTTTTTAGGTTCCTAAAATTATTGAAATACATAAAATTTTGCTTCTCTTTTAGTGTACGATCTGAATTAGTTGGACTATTAATAAAAACGAATACACTTTATTCATAATTCAAAATTTCAAAATACATAAACAAATCTTAAGTACCTACGTACAAATTGGCCTCACAAAGTTGATGCCTGCACTGGTTCAATGCTGTATCCCAAGCGAGAGGATGGCTTACTTCATCTTCGATAATCTTTGTTGATAAACAGGGCTTGAAACTAGAGAAAATCTTGATACTTGACTAGACGTTAGCAATTTTATGTACGTTTTATTTACAATTTGTGAAAACTGATCAATCATTATTTAAGTTACGTACTCGGGTACAACAATTTCAGTGACGAAACTGAACCTATCTAAGCCCAACCTAACATGCTTTTGCTCCCAATTTCGACACAAATCTTGAAGGTATGGAAAAGTACGAAGGTTTAATGAATAAGAATGTCTTAATAAGTAACTGTCGTCAAGAATATATCAGCTGATTTCCTCGGATTTTAACTTGAGCGACAAATAGCGAGCATATTTTGATAGCAACTGGTTCATAAAGTCGTTGTCCTCGGCGGCCACACGTAATTAAGTAACCCTACAGTAACAAAGTCAGCCTTGTCAATGCTTTTAATAACATACAAGTAGTGCAAGTAGTTTAAACTTTATTTCTAGAGGAATACGGATGTTTGTTAAACAGCCACACGCAACTGAATATCATTGACCAAAATTATTTGGATGTTAATATATTTATTTTAATTCGTCTTTAAAGGAATGTGAATATTTTGGAACATTTTGAAGTAGGTACCTACTGGCATATGAATTTTCTACGGTTATGTTTGAATTTGCATAAGAGCTCTCTCATTAGGTGTAATTATTGTTACACCATTCCTCACCAGTAATTTAAGAAAATAGATATTATTAGTTTCTTGGAGAAGAGGTGATCTTATTCTCAAACACAATCGAAACTAGACCAACTAGGTATGATATTAGAGTTTTCAATGGCATAAAAGTATTGGAGTTTAGAACAAGCCATTTTTACGACAAAATGCAAAATATGCTAGACTATTTGAATAAATAAACACGCCTCAATTTTATTAAGTCAAGTTTTTTGACCTCTGTTTTCAAAACACTATCATCTATGAATAAAATACCTATAATATTTTAACGATTCCATCTATATCATCAAGAGCGTATGATAGTCCACTTTTGGACTATGGGCATCCACAACATAAGAGGGATGTGCCCTAAAATTCACGCTTGACGGACGGGTTTTTATTTCTAGGTTAAATATTAATAGGGTAGTTGCCAGGGTAAGAAAATTATAAATCTAATTAGTCCGTCAGTTAGATAATGAAAAAATATTAGACACGTATTTTTTTATTTTTCAAATAATCTACCAGACGGACATTTAAATAAAATTTAGGAAACTACCCTATTCTCCACGGACTCTTGGTCCGTACCCTTGTCAGATATTATTTTTTTACAATATGTGTAATAAATATTTATAAAGTACCTGTTACACACTACAATAAATTAATCACGTCTATAATTATCACTACAAGAATTGACAGACGGGATGGAGATTGTAGTTTTAAGGTTCGGGTCAAAGAAAAGCGCTGCTTCCTAGTCTCTGTGAGGGCTCGTACACCAAACTGCGATGCGACGTCGCAACGCAAAAATAAGCGAGCTACCTCTACGCGTCGCAAGAACTTGCGAATTGATTCGTATCGCGCATCAAAGTCTTATCTTCCCAAAATCTTCTTTGTTTCTTCTTCCTGTATCTCCTAAGCAATAACAGAAGTGCACACTTCTTTTTACGATCGATGTCACGACCTAGTTTTCAATTTAAAATACGTTTAGTAAGGTTGATGGCCGTCGAAGGTATGGTCACCCTGGGAGACGCCTTGTCACACGAAATCGCATCGCAGCAATTCTCATCGTAATTTTTGTCGTTATGAATTCACATCGCATCGCATCGCAGTTTTGTGTACGCATCCTGATAGGTGTAGTCTCTCTGTCACCTTTTACAATATAGAAGAGTCAGGATGCTGAAATACGTCTACTTTACAGTCACTACACGGTGGCATTTGTAATACTCGTCTACTATGATAATTTATATCTTGTCCATAGGAACACGAAACATGATGCACCAAAAGAGACATTATTTACTATTCAACATTTACAATTTTTTCAAATATGCATTTATGTTGATACAGCTGGGTACGAACAGCTGTTGAATATTGACTTCGTATCTCATTAAACATTGAGACCAATTTTAAGTACTTGTTTAAAAACTATTTCTTGTTACCTATTAGTACTTACTTACTCTCAAAAAGTTATCTACCTACCATAAATATGAGATTTAATCAAGAGGACAAGGTATGCTAAACTAATATATTTCATTAATCTGCTATTAATAACCGTTAGGACTTAGAAATATACATATAAATGAGGTTTTTAACATTTTTTTTGCGATAAAGATATCACGAAGAACTCTATATTGAATAGCTTTCTAGAAAGTATGCTATTTCTTTACCTACTATTGAATAAGTTACGTAATAACTATTCTAGAAATACATTATTACATTACTTGATTATTATGCTAAGAGTACAAACGAAAAAGGTAGGTATTATTAGGTATTATTGAGTATGTATTTGTGCATGTTTGAAGGTTTCAACACATCAATCAGTTACCACACCCAATGAATAATGCAGTGCTAAGAACATCGTAGAATAACAAAGTAATTAGTTACATACTTAAGAGTAAAATGTGTATGCTAACATTGAAATAATGCCTAATAAATCCTTGAAAAGTGGAATCATATAGGATAGGTACACTGATGTTCTTTCAAAGCATATAAATGTATTAAATGTTTCACCCACATAGCCAGCTGCGTCATGCGACGATCATAATTATTTACAGATTCAGTAGTATTACTGCGAATCACAAAAATAAAACTAATTGTTATAATAATATAGTGAAAGTACCAATAATGGTACTTTTGCAGATATAACATTTAAACCCCATACCAAAACAAAATATAATCATCTAGGTAGTACTAATACAGACACATACAGGCACATAATACATAGTAGTAGTATGTAACTTATACTATCTTAATTTTTACAGCTCCTGCTTGGGTTGATACTGTCGAGTATCGTGGCATCGAGTTTCGCTTACATACAGATTGCTAGTAAAAAGCCGCTAGGCACTCTGTATAGATGGAAACAAATCGATTATGCATACCCCACACCACAAGCTCGCCAGGCTGCTATCAACAACGGGTAATTGTTATGAGAAAACTATGATTATTTTATTATACTAAGTTCCAGAATAAAACTTTCAACAAAAATAAAAAGCAACAGATGCTGTTAATCTTCAATACATAAACATCCGTTCGTAATTATTAATCTGACGAAAATCCGATAACAACTGGTACGATTTGAGTAATTTAAAATATGAAAAATTTGATTGAACTCTGACACAGTACTAATATTATAGGTATAATTAAGAAAGTTCGCGTGTAATTAAACCGCTTCAAAATGGCCGAAGGAATCGAGATGTTTGGGTATTACTCCAGACGTTTTATTTTTCGATCTTTTTGACTGGATTTTAGTGTTATATTGTTCTCGCACAATCCAAGCAACATAACTATGTATGTAACTAGAGAATTGTATTGTGAACCTGATTGAAAAAGATTAACCTATGGAGTTTCTTACTCGTTCTTCTCCATAGGAATCTTCACCTTGGAATGAGCTTCACTTAAATTTTTTGTTGACGTTCAAAAGTGCCTTGTCTAATCGAAATAAATGATTTCGACTATGACTTTGACGCTTTAATAACACTTAAGCTACTTTTATTTTCCGGGAACGTAGACAAAGCCACTATCAGAAGCTAGTCCCTAAATAATTAGAAATTGTTATTGTTGTTATACCTATCCTAATTTTTACATTGCACACTTTACATAATAAATCTTTTTCCTGCAGACAATTCAATCAACTTAACGTAATACCGCTTGGAGTAGAACGTTGGAAGGATCGCGTGTTCATCAGCACACCGCGTTGGAAGAAGGGCACTCCAGCCACGCTATCATCTGTGCCCATTGGTGCTCAAACTGAATCACCACCCCTAGAACCATACCCTAACTGGAACTGGCACACTGCAGGTAAACCTCTATACAGCAGTTGCTTGCATATACCACATCCTTCAATTTCTTTTAAAAATATTTTAATTGCCTTTTTTATTCCAACAGATAACTGCACGGGCTTCACTTCGGTATTCCGTATGGCTATAGACCACTGTGGCGTTATGTGGGCCCTTGACTCTGGTCAGGTGGAAGCTTTTGAATCACCACGTCAACTCTGTCCACCCACGTTATATGCCATAAATCTAGCCACTGATACAGTCATAGGACGTTACCCCATACCAAGTGAATTTGTTCTGCAAAACTCATTAATCACCAACATCGTGGTAGACTCGAGAGACGTCCGCTGCAGGGACTTACACGTTTACATAGCAGATGCATGGCGTTTCGGCTTGATCGTATTTAGAAATGAAGACACATCTTTTTGGCGATTCAGTCACTACAGCTTTTACCCTGAGCCACTACTCTCGAACTATACTTTACATGGACTAAACTATCAGTGGTCTGACGGTCTGTTTGGTATGTCCCTCGGTAAGTACCACCAAGGCGACCGACCGCTGTACTATCACTCTATGTCCAGTTCTCTGGAATTCGTGGTGAGTACGTCGGTAATACGCGATCCGACGCGCGTGAGCAACTCCGTGGGCGAGTTCAAGCTGCTCGGTGACAGTCGCGGTGCGAACGGACAGGTCTCAGCCGCAGCCGTCGACCGCAACGGTGTTATGTTCTTTAACCTCATTTCGCGAGACAGTATCGGATGTTGGGACACACGCAAACCTTATACAAACCGGAATCTAGTGGTAGTAGCCCAGAACAATAACACAATGATCTTTCCAAACGATTTACGAATAGATCACGAAGTACCACAAATGGCGTGGATTATTACTAACAGACTCCCAATGTATCAGTTTAATTTGATTAATCCTAATGATTACAATTACCGTGTCATGTATTTAGATCCAGTGGCAGCTGTTCAAAACAGCGTGTGTCAACCAGAAATACGTTTAGGTGATAATCAAGATATTATGTTGTAGTTGTTGTTAGTTTAGTTTATTTTATTTTGTAAATACATAATTAAATAAAGTCTACATACAATTTAATTGTTTGATTATTTCCCTATTTAAAGCAATCCTTTCAAATAAACTTACATTTTATGCATTTCTTTTTGTGTTTTCACTGCTATTCGGTTTACTATCATCGTTAGTATCTGTAGAGTCTTTACTAGGATCTTTCTTTAATGTTTTATTTTTTTCTTGATTCAACACATTATTTTGTGATGTTTCTCGTTTAGATTCAGTAGGAGTGACTTCTTTGCCTTTATCAGTAGCTGATCTTAGCTGTCTCACAGTAGGTGTTCTTTCAGGGCCCAAGTTATCTTCACTTGACATTATACGTAAAGGTACTTCTTTAGGTTTATAGTAATGGCGGATTTTTTCGTCTGTAACATCTTCTATTTTGATACCTTGTGTAATTTCTTCTATTTCGATACCTTCTGTTAAATCTTCTATTTTGATATCTTGTGTCAAATCTTTTAAATCTTGTGTTAAATCTTCTGTTTTCATTCTTTGTGTCATATCTTCTGTTTTTGTATCTTTTGTTAAATCGTCTATTTTAGTGCCCTCGGTAAAATCTTCATTTTTTCCTACGTTTACAATATTATTTTGCATCAAATTTTTCATGTTGTCATCACTTGAAATTTTAATGTCAGGAGGTTCTTTGTTTATTTCATTGTCTGATATGCTATCATGTTTTAAACCATCAGTTGCGTGTTTCCTCCATTTTACATCAGATTGGGGCTCGTCTTTACTTAATATTTTACTATCACTATTATTATCACATCCGTCTCCATTTGCTGTTTTAGGCGATGAATTCGTATCGATGCCATTTGATACTTTACGAAACATAAAATTTTCTTGGCTATCTAAATAACAAATTTCAGGTAAATCTGAATCTCTGTTGTAATTATGAAATACGGCATCATCTGAGGGTTGATTTGATGTTTCACTTGCAAATAAATGCCTGTTTCTTAATTCGTTAGCTACACTGTTAAGCACAAACTCTCCGTCGTGTTCTAAATTTAACATTTGAGCAAGAGTGGATGTACCGTTGATTAATTCATTAAATTCATTAATTATGAAATCATCGGAAATTTCTCTGCTGTGATCATCACTATTCATTATTTTATTGTACACCATACTTGTATACTCTTCCAAAAGTTTTAGATTAATCTCTCTATTTTGATTTACCCTTTGTATTATATTTGCTATTGACTTTTCGCTGTCTGCATTTGCATTTACTAACAATGGGTCGTTTGATTTCTCACTCTGATTTAAATTGCTATTTGACGATTTGTTTGTGTTATCTCTGGCAACTTTATTAATTTGAACAGAATTATTTGTGTTACCACTTAATTGACTACTTCTAATTCTTAATGGCGTCCCTATTTTACCTTGTTTATCAAATGTTAGTTTTCCTTTTGTTGCTTCCATTCCTGACACATTTTTTGATTGTGAATCTTGTTCAGTATTCGTGTCTAATGGAGTTACATTCTTCTTGCTTGAATTTTGTTCCAGCTCCACTGGTATTAACAATGTTTCATGGGATTCACTAGGCGAATTTCGCTTTGTTTTGTGTTTAAATTCGTCAGATTCACCATTACTATGAACTGTTTTCAAAGGAGCTGTTGTTGGCTCTGTCTGGAGTTTATCTGTGGTAGTTTTTTTCATAAATATTTGTGGATATTCCTGTAAATACGAAGCTGTATTTCCTCTACTACTGCCTACATTTTGAGGTGTATCAGAATCGCCTGCATTGATAGTGCAGTCAATATTATCACTATGCCACAATGCGGGTACTGGGGAACTGAATCTCTGAGGGTCAAGTATAGATTCTGTTACCTCCTTCTTCATATAAGCACCTACGCGTAACAACATTAAAACTATCTGTTCTAGAATCCTATCAGTATCTCGAGGTATTATTATTTCACTCCCGAACCAATCTTCGTACGCTCCGCTGTCGGAACAGCACCCAGTTGATGGTTTTATGGCGTCCGGCTCTGGCACGTCTTCTTCTGCACTGGTGTCGGTGGAATGCACCATTTTCGACGATATATCCAGTTGTGGTCTTAAATATGATTCATTTGTTGTGCTTAACCCTTCCCCGTAACTGTGGACAAACAAATAACGTACCTATAGTATTTTATATTACTCTAGGGACCCGCCCCGGTTTCGCACGGGTGCAAAATGCATGTATTACCTATAAACCTTCCTTAAGAATCGACTCTATTTATTAAAAAAACCGCATCAAAATACGTTGCGTAGTTTTAAAGATCTAAGCATACATAGGGACAGACTGAAGGCGGATAGCGAGTTTGTTTTATACAATGTAGTGATTTACGATAATCTAAATCAAAGTAAGGATTTGAACTATTGTTAGTAATATAAAAAGTAATTACAAGCTTGCGACTAATTTTTTGCGGAGTTGGTCTTCTCCCAGCAGGGACTTGGTCCGTCTCCTTCGAACAGCCAGCTCCAGCCCGTAGTCATTGTCGCTGGGGGGTAGGACGGCGGGAAACGTTTTGAATGCTGTGGCCACTTTGAGTGCATGGTAATAACTGTGAAATAAAATTATAGTAGAAGGACATAAATATTTAGGTACTTTGGAAAAGAAATGTGATTGAGTAGGTTTACTTATATTTTTTATATTCATAATTATGTCGTCTTTTACTAACAGTTATTTGCTTTTTATTACTTTATTATTTTTTTATGTATGAAATTAAATCCCTTCATATTTATTATAAGTCTTGTGATACACACCAGTACATCAATGTTTTCTAATCTGTCAAACTTTAACAATTTTCGACTTTATTTCAAAGGCATACCTACAGCTATAAATCATAATCACCTGAATACTAGCATCCACATGTAAAATGCAGGCATGATTGTCGTGAACTTGACCACGACGAACTTGATACAGGGTGTCCTAGCAGGTCCTAGGAGCACACATGTGCCGAGACCGAGGGCGAGGCTCGTCAGCTCACACAGCAGCTTCCTGATAGCAGCCAGGAGCAACCAGGGCAGCACCAATGTGGGTCGCTCTTCCTAAACCGAACCAATCAATAAATTGATACTTATTTCTTATCACAAGGACCTAGATTTGAATTCTGTCGTACTATACTTTGATTTTTAAAATGCTCTTGATTTATTAAATTTCATGGCTGACCAATCTGCTAATTCTTTTAAACAATTTTAATTAAAATATGTACCTTGGGACCTTACCTCGATGGAATGTAGTGTGTGTGACGAACTGACTGTCATTGTGGTTAAACTATATTTAATGGAATCATGTTTGGAATGACGCAACTACCAGATATTTTTCCGTTAGTCCATGAATGGGTAAAACATGGGCCCCTATCCAATATCGTCAGTTGATTATTCATAATATAATGGCAACTTATGAATCATATTGTAAAGCAACGAATAGCAAATATTGATTTATTATAATATCAAAATAGTACATTACAATTATATGAACCAATGCGTTATACATAATATAATATGAATACTTCCTTTCCTTTCCAAAGTGCTTGAGGCCTGTGTACACAAACAGCTGTCCAACTTCGTTTACCGGAATTCTCTCATTAGTCCTCTCCAATCCGGGTTCAGACCAGGTCACAGCACTATCTCCGCTCTCCTTAAGGTGACTGGCGATATTAGAACTGGCCTCGAGAACACCATGGTTACAATTCTGGTTTTAGTTGATTTCTCGAATGCCTTCAATATGGTCAGTCACGACATCCTTCTAGCCGTCCTATCCCATCTTACGGTCTCTGACAAAACACTGAACTGGTTCTCTTCTTATCTTCAGGGGCGTCAGCAGTCGGTCAGGGTTGGTGACGGCGTTGGTTCTCCCTATTATTGATTATGCTGATGTGTGCTACTACGACCTGCAGGCTTACTCTTGAAACTAATTTCAATTCCAATCCAAAGCCAATCCAATTCCAATGCTAAATTTGAACTCACGACATTCGGTACTCTTGAAAACAATAATGATAACATTGGATTGAAATCGGAATTGTCCCGCGATTGTTTAGTGTAACGTGAAGTTAGCTATGCATCGAAACACAATAGTGGCTCTAAAATCATATATCTTTAAAAAAATAAGGTTTAAAAATAATAATCATTCATATAATTATTTGTTTTCTATCTCTAACTAGATTAATTTATTTTTAAGGAAGTAAATAATTAAAAAAATAAATTTACCATGACTTTGGTTTGCTTTGGATGTACCTATACGTTAGCAACACTACTAAAAAAACCCCTCCGTAAAATTTCTCCACATAATTTAAAACGTTCTAAAGTTTTTAGAAGAAATTACGAACGAGTTTGTTTGCATTATTACTTATTATATACCTTGAGATATACTTTTTTACTGTTTAAAGTGAAAACGGCCAACTTAGTTACCTTGTATCAACGTTTAAACAATTGGTAAGTACCTAAATGCTCATAAATAAATATTTCGGCATTGTTTTGCTATAGTATTTGTTTAAGCTGTATTTGTGAACTTTCATACTACTTTGGTTGGTACATGTACTACCTATAGAACTATACCATTACTTGTATTTTGTATGTCTAGGCCTAATTAATCAATGTTTATCAATTTCAGTTGCAATGCCAAGTCGTCCTAGCTACGCCCAATTAGAAGGTTTAGTGGAGTTTTTAGAACAAAATCCAGGCGTAGCTAAGGGCTTAGTTCGGACAACCCAAGGCCAAATAGAAACGAAGAGAAAGTGGGAAAATTTAGCGACTTCTTTAAATTCGTTAGGAGGTGCCAATAAAAACGGCAGGGCTTGGGCGAAGGTAATTAAAATGACTACTTACTTACTTCATAACATTACTTTTAATCTGAATTATTATTATATTACTTGAGCAATTTCATCAAAATGAATGCATTTTCTTTTTAGTATTGGGCTGAGAAGAAGTGCGCTCTACGGAAACATTGTGCAGGACTCTCAGCCTCAATGAGACGCACTGGTGGCGGAGCATCAGACAAC